TTCCTGGTCTTCTCAAAATTTCAGTGTGAACTTTAGAGTATGATTTTTGTATATCCAATTACTGAATGTAATAAAAATTAGATTTCTCTATTTCATCATGACATTGAGGCTAAAATACATCTAATAGCTTTGAGATCCTCAAATATTTGGGTTGTAACACCCATAACAGTGGCTACCACTGAGAACTACACAAATATCAGCTACCTCAGTTCACTCTGCTGATATTTGATTCAGCTGGCTGAGTTTTGGAGTTTTATTACATCATGATGTAATAAAGTAAAAATTAATCACTTGCCCTCTTTTCTTCATGGATGTTCCTGCCTAATAAATTAATCTACCATTCATGAGTCTTATCAGTTCTAGAAACATCTAAAACAGAAATATTGGTTCAATCAATGCAAAATAAAGGAGACCTCTATATTCTTTTTACTGTGTCATCTTGGAGATGGTAGGGCAGTTTGTTTTTTTATATTCTTTTCTCGCAACCCCTTGATTTGGGATCAAGATTAGTCATTAGCTATAACCTGTCTTGTAATGTCAAATATCTCTGGTCTAGGATTAAATTCAACAAAGTCACATAATAAGGGGGGAAAAAAACCCCAAACCCTTGAATAATTTAAACTCATTACTCTACTAATCCTTCCATTCTCCTAGGCTCCCTGGAGGTATATTAGGAGGTAATTGAAAACACTTTAATACGCTGAAAAGACATTTGAGACTAACGTAGGCAGCCCCTGGTAACTCTCTACTTCCTTGGTTCTTTAGTAATAAGGAAGATCACCTCAGTAAAAGGCAAAACCCCCCTGCATATTAAAACAAAACAAAAGCACCTGGAGATTAAGTGTGCATTTATTGTAAATAACTAAAACCACTTCACGGGGTCTTTGTTGTAATGAGAATTTGCTGAGAATTGGGAGTTATAGGTAGGGTGGGGAAGTGAAATATCTGATACTTAATGCAGGGCACGGACACAGGGATGCCCCAGGGATCCAGTTTCCAGGTCTGTTGCCCTGTGCACAGCCCTGTATGGCACCTTGAGCCTGGCTGATTTCCTTTGTGGAAATTTCTGTCACTACATCTTTAACTCATGGAGCTTTAATTAATTATTGCTCTTAAATGACTCAGGGAACCTTGGAGAAAGTTGCCATAGAAGTTAAAATTGTTGCTATTGCTTCAAAATTCTACAGTAGGAAAGGTGTTTAAATATCAGTTCTGATAGGCAGTGCATTAGTACAGGATTGCACTGTGCCTGTAAAGCACTTTGTATTAAGGACAGTATAAAGTTTCACTTCCCCAAGGAGAATCTGGGGAGGAATTATTTTAGTTTTTACTTCTCGTTAATAATGTATTTGACACTTGGAAAGCTGTGTTTGGAGATGAGTGTTCTTTAGAGAATCGTTGGACAATGTAGTGTGTGATTTTCTGTTTGCAGTCAATTTATGATTCAAAGAGACAGCTTCATCCTACCTATACATTTATTCCCATGGTTGTGCTGCCTCTGCCAATTCACTAATGAAGTCTTTTTCAAGACAGTTCAGCTCTTCTTGTTTTGAAAGCAATATTTGAGTAAATAAAGCTTTCCTTTTTTTTTTTCCTGCAAAATTCTCAGCCAAAGCGCTGGGCAGAACAAAGAATCAGTGTTGGGTTAGAGAGTCACTGGCTTCTAGATCAAATTATTTTAAACCTTGTCTTGGAGATTAGAACTCAAAAAATTATTCTTATGGGAAGACCGACAGTGGCTTCCTCAAAAGGAGCATGGCTTGGCTTCAGTCTTTGCAAACCTGCAGGGGCTACAAGATTTTTCTGGTGCAGGTCTTGCTTCTCATCCAAGAGTGGCCAGCTACTGCAACAGGCCAAAAAAGAGCAGGGAGTAATTCCTCTCCTTATACATCCTTATATCATCACCACTAACTCGCTCTGACGGCTTTAAAACTCTGCCACTTAGTGTTGCATAAGGTAAAGCAGCTGAATTATATACAGTGACAGGCTTAGAAATTTATTTGTGTTGGGTCTCTCTTGTGTCACTTGTTATTTACAGATGTTAATACATTATAATATTACTGTGTATTCAAGTAGGATTATTGTGAGAGTTCACAAAGACCCAACATCTTCCTGAAATAAACTGATACTCGCAAATCATAGCTTGGATTTTTGGAAAAATCTGAATGCCTATTATGTGGATATATAGGGAGAAAAGAAGACAAATTCCACTGTTCATATACTTTTAGAGACAGGAGTGGCTCCCAATTCACTGCCCCTCTATTCCTTTGTAGAAACTTAATAAAATGGAGCAATCCACCCATGCTGGCCACCACTGTTTTCCTGCTTTGTGCTCTGTGCTCCTCACTCATCATTGATTCTTCTACTTCACCCACATTGTTCCTTGTAGTGAGGGAAGGAAAATACAAATGTGATAGACTTGGTTCTGCCCTGCCCTTGCAGTGCTGCTTCTTACTGCAAGGATAGAACCAGTACCCACTTTTGTCAACTAGGTAAGAACAAATGTCTGTGGGGGGGAGACAAAAAAGATTTGCATGTAGCTTGCCAGTGACCAGAAAACAGGACCCAATAGATGATTTCCACTGATTTTCTTTAATGATTAATTTCCTTTATATTCACAGTCACGAGATTCTTTTCCTGAAACCCTTTGGTGTGTTTAGAGACTCATTCATGCACCTTTCCATTGTAAGGAAAAGTGTACAGCACAACATAGGCCCCCAGCGTGTCACAGCTGCACCAGCTCTGTGCAACATCTCTGGGGCAATCACAGCAATCTCTTTTGAAAAGTATTTAAATGCTATTTATTTCGAAATGTTATTTAATAGCTGTTAGGTAGCTAAGATCTAAGTCTTGCAATTCATTTACTTTCTGTAAGATCCCTGTCTCTTTATGAAATTGCCCACTATGACAATTAAGGAGCTCTTGTTTTGTAAGCGTAGGCTCTTACAAAATATAATGGTTTTATTCCTGTTTTGATTTCAGCAGCATTAACAAGTTTTATGCCACACAAGGACCTGCCCTCCTCATTGTAGTGCTGATGAAGTCTGATCATATTTCTCTATTGCAATTTCAACAACTGTAAAAAAGAAAAAGTGATAATAATAATAATGATATTGACTTGTGTACCTTAGAGGGATTTTGAAGGGATTAGTAACGTTTACAATATACTCTGAAATTGATGCTCTAAGAGCTATTAGGAAGGTGCCTTCCTGAGAGCTTGACATATTTTCAGACAGCTGTATTAAGCCATTAAGCAAGCAATCCCATATAAAATATCTAAATAATAGAATTTACCAAAAAACCCCATCAAAAGCCTCTCTCCTCTTTGTGATGCACCGAGATCCATTTTATTTGTCTGATACATCATTCATTGGCCTGGACTTCCAGCTGGAACGCAGTGGTGCAGAGCTGAGCTGTTGGCCTCCCTGCTGAATCAGTGCTGAGCACTGTTGCTATGCACATAAAGGCAGTGCTGAGACCCCGGCAGGTTTTCCTCTGCAGAAAATGCTCAGCTTCATCCAGCTCTTTCTTCTCTCCCTGTACATTTAGTAGCATTATGAAAATGAAGAAAGATAGCATGCTTTGCATCAGTGTGACTGAGAGATGACCCAGATTCATAAATAAGCTTTGCAGAGATTCAATAATAATTTACCTGTCCACTTCCATGGCTAGTGGGGAATTGCCTTGTCATGACAGGGAGAATGGCAGGGAGGTGAAAATTCATGGCCTCTAAACAAAGTACCAGATGACTGAGTTTGCTGTCACCAAGGAAGAGCTATTCTATGCCATTGCTCAGCCTCAAAATTCCACCTTCCTGTAGCCATGATGTTGTTTAATTTCAAAATTTGCATTTAGTTCCCATCAAAGAAATAAAAAAAAGCTGAAGTTCTACTTTAATTATCTGAAGTTTAGCCAACGACTCAAAGACTGCACATAGTTGTTTGAGACTGAGTTTAAAAAGTCATTTCACCTTCACTACTTTTAACTTTTTATAACTTTAAAGTGCATTCAAAATTGTAGCTAAAATATTACACTGAATTAAAAAATGCAATAGAAAAATATTAAAAATAAAATAATTTTTTTACAATTTTGCTTCTAGTTATTCTTGAGTTGATGCATCAAGTAAAATATAACACAAATTTCTGAACTAGTCAATTGATGAAATATATGGTATTTAGGCATTGTCACCCCCTCTTTTATCCCTCTTTGCCTAAAAAATTATTTCACATCTACTGTAGGAATTTTATAACCTCAGCTACTTTGGGCTGGACAGCCCAGGAACAAAGAGGTGTAGCTGGCTAATATAAGTCCCTCAGTGTCTTGTTTCTTGCTCACACTGAGCTGGCATCTGATGCTGGGGAATGTGCAAATACATACACAAATATGAAACCTTTTGCTTTGAAGTCTGATATTTTTTTTTCACCTCTTCATTTATTTTGTTAGACCTACTTCAAAGAAGACTGTCAAACTCTTAAAGGGATATGTTCCTGTCGCTTAGAGGAGAACTGTGCTCCTCACAGCATTTCTTTTGCAGAGAGAAGCTGGCTAGAAGCCACAGTTTCACAGGCCTTGTGTAGCTGTGAGCTGTTCTGAGGGGGGTACAGAACAGTGTAGGTGGACTCTGATAACGGACGTTTTGGCAAGATGCGTGAGGTGCTTTGATTTTTCAATTAGGCATTTTTTTGCTTTAATAATATACTGCTATTCTGTAGCACCCATGCTTCAGGATGCTCGCTAAGCTACCATGCAAAAATATTAGCTGGTGCAGGGAATAGCTGTAACCTTCTGCTCAGTTTCATGTCCTGTGGGGAGCATACTACGAGTCAATTCTGTGCACTGCATTACCTGCCAACCAATTTCTGAATGTGCTTCTGGGACCTGAGTAGTATCTATGAGAAGCTGAGACCTGGCTGCCTTGGAAGTGGCTTTTTTTATCCCTATCTCCATCAGGATAGTCATGCAGGATGTTCTTTTTGGCTTGTTCAGGAGCTGAAATTTGAAGTACCTTGGAACAATTTTTTTTTTTTTTCTGTCAATGCACCATGCTACTTCAGATTTTCACTTGAGCAGAATCTTGTCTCTTGCCTTCAGGACTGGTCTCTCAGGAACAGTTGTGTTTGTCCAGGCATCTTGCAAAACTTGCAAGGATTTTGATGACATTGATGACAAATTCAGAAAATACTATTTTGTCTTTTGAAGTATAGATGTAAAAGGCAGATTCTAGTTGTCTGGAAGAATGCATCAAAATTTATGACCAAGTAGGCAAATGAAGATACAGCTGGGTAAAAGGTATGTACGAAAAAGTTTGTCAGGGAAACTTGAGTGCATTCGATGTTTCTTGAACTTCACAGAAGTTGCCAATGTGTTTTTTAGTTTTTTAGTAACTGCTTGTAAATATAGGATTCTAATATGATGGCAATGGTTGTTAAAAACTTAATGAGGATCTTCACCTGTGGGGTTAAAAGGAATTTTGTTTTGCTGTTGATTTTACAGAATATTCTGTTGACATCAGTGCATTTAATCTTTTCCTGTAAATAGAGGGATTGCATGTACCAAAAAATAATTTTTCTTCTTCAAAATGCAAGAAAACTTTTAAACATTATTGTAGCAATATTGTACGTATCTCAAGTCTAAAGAGAAGACACACACCAGTATTTTCATCCTATTTGCTGAGAATCAGATCGTGCAACTTCTCTTATCCAAAGGGGAGATAAATTAGGAGTAATTAAAAGCATGAATGATGAAAAGCAAAAATTATATTAATTAACACTGTTTAGAAACCTATTAGAAACTATTTTAAATAGAAGTATTATAACAATAAAATCCTACAATATTGAAGTAGTGGTTATGTAGTTCAGGAAAGAATTGTGCTTTGGTAACAGGAATGAGCTTTATTGACAGGTTTTATACAGTAATGATTAAAATACAGAACATCCCAATTAATGTCTCCTGTATGGAGTAAAAAATAAAAAAAAAAATCCATTTACCCAACCCAGAAGTTTTACATTATTTTTTTATCTTTTGGTTCCAAGCTCATAACTACTAAATTATAACCTTTGATATAAAGCACGAGTTAATTACTACTAATAATAAATAGTAGAATTTTTCCTTTGATGCACAGAAAATATGGAATTACGTTGTGTAATAGCTGAGGTTGCCTGCAAACAAAGAACAAACTTCTGCCTCCACAAGTGTCCATTCCTTTGCATTTTCTCATGCAGCTGTGCAGATGAATACGATGGCAGCATATTCTGCAAGAATATCTGTCTTTCTTGGCATGTTATGCCAGATGCTATTGGGTATGATGAGGGAAACATCCCAGTGAACACTGACAGAGCTGCTTTTGGTTTCAGTAGCATTCATCTGTCAGTAGGGATCACTGGATCCTGTTTCTCTTGTCTTACTTTGATGCTGTGGGATAAAAGCCTAGGCATTAATACTTAATGCCAGTAGTAGTAATACTGTAAAGTGTGTACAATGATTTTTTAGATTGTACAGGAGAATCCTGATAGGTAGAATTCAATCTCGGAGCCCTGAATCCAGCACCTAGGTGCAACAAATGCTATTAAAATAGTAATATCCCTCATGTACCCAAATTTTGTCTATTATGTGTTTGTTCTAACTTTCCATTAGAAAGGAGTATGTATACTGGGACTTGTTCAGGCACTTGTTCATATAATTCTCTTCAAAGTGCCATGCAAAGATAAATGAAAATGAAGATATCTTGCTAACATTCCCTCCCTGTACTTCATGTGCTATAAAATCCCAGTGATCCATTGTCTCTAATTACTGTGTTGAGAAATTTGATGCAACAGGACCATTTTAGTGGATTGAAAAATCTGCTGCTGAAGATCTGACATTTATATAATGCAAAGTTTAAGGCGTGCAGGTCCGACTAAAATTAGTTTTGTGTATCCTTGCTATGCCAAGGCTTTGGAGATGTTTTGATTCACTGTTTATGTCCATGCGGGTGTGGAATGCACCTGATATAGGTGTGAATCTGACTTGCTGGTTCAATTTCTTCTGGAAGAATCTCACTTGTTTGTACCAAATAAGCTGTCAATGTGATCTGTGCATGGTGAATGGGTACACCAATAGTCACCAAATGCCCCGAACCCAACTGCAAAGAGTAATGTAGGTACAGCTTATGATTACTTTTCTTGACTTTATGGGGTCTAAACTGACAGCAGGAAATGGTAACTTCACACCAGTTTGAGCCTTTTAATTAATTCTTTGTAGATGCCAAAAAA